GTCATCTTTGGAAGTTTTTTCTGTCGTTCACAGATGTTCTTGCGTTTTTAGCGAGAAGGCAGTTCGTTGGATCATGCATTGTAAGTTCTGTAAATCTTGCTCAAAGATTCACATTTAGTCGAGCACACTGCGTTGTTGATTTGTGTAACAGAACGATGATCAAATTTTGTGTAACATGAATCGTAGCCTCTGGAGAAAAATACATTCGGTCCATATTTGTTAAAAATCAACGAATTCTTTGAGCATATAAATAATGCACGGAATGATGACGCAGTTGTTACAACAAACTCCAAGGGTCAAATCGATACCGCGCTAAAGTGGTACAGCGTCAATTCGTTTATCCGGATATCTGTGTTTTTCTGGAAGGAGTCATTTCTGAAATGAAATGGTGACTGTCCAAGGACGCGCTTCGATAGGATGAAACGGTGGTTGCCAGCCACTAGCCAAAGATATCTGTTCGTACTGAAAACCTCACAAATTACTTCACTTCCCGGACTAAATGAAGGCCGGCATATTAACATTGGTTTAGAAGGCTCGGCGCGTTTTGAATGGACTGCCGAACAACTACTGGAAAAGATTGGAAAAGCATCGTCTGGCGCACTCACAACGAGGACGAGTCAACAAGAACGAAGGTGCAAAGATGCTTGATCTAGACTGAAATGAGCTAATTAATAATTCAGTATTCTGCGCTGTAAGTTTGATGCATTTCACTGCGTTTACAATAATCGAACCAGCGGTGCAAGTTGCGGTATTTAGACAGAGTGTGGTGGCCTTTTAATGGCTCAAAAGGGTGAAGTAGCCTTGTTCATTGCGAGAATTAAAACATCAAGAAAACTTACTGTTAGTGGAATCCTGCTCTGACGTAAATTTTATTATGGCACTTAAGACTTGTGATTTAAGTGTGACTTGTAATGATTTGTATTTATTCCATCAATAAATTCAAAGTATCAGATTTCTGCAACAGAAAAACGCGGAAATAACGTAAATACTTAAAATCGATGGAAAAGCGATTAAGTGCCTCGTTTGCGACTAAGTCACGTTGATTTTTTCCATGGTAATACTCGTAGCAAACGCAGGTGATATGTATGTACAATGCTATCCGTCGCTAGACGTTCGAATAATGGATAACTGCTACAAGACCCGGTTTCACGGCATATGGCCCCCTCCACCATGCCTTTAATTGTTCAGATTAAAAACAATTAGGCAGGCCATGGTTTCGTGGTGTTTGAGCAACATCCGATGCATCTCGCTTGGTTCGTTAAGATCACCTCGCGCTCATTGCAAATCAGATTTCAGAAGTGAAAACAATAAAAAACACGATTTATGTATACAGAACGCAAAGAAATTTGTTAATTGGATGATCGACCAGGAGAACCGTTATTTTGGTAGTCGCTCGAAAGAACTTCAGTCTTCTTCAAGGTAAGGAGCTAGTTAAGTTCTGGAAGTCTTTCTTGTTCTCAGCAGCGGTTCGCATGTTCCGTGTTGCCGCTTAAGCAGTTTCTTGGCGTCAGGAGAGACATCTCAGAGGCTCATCGAATCCGCGCCAAGTTCCTGTCGTTCGTAGGTACTGGTACTGGTCAATCGTCCAGTTTATTGCATTGCTTTGCGTTGTTTATAAACGAACAGTGTTTTTTGTGGTTTTCAATGTCATCACTGGAACACGAATTGGATATTCAATTTGCCGATGTTGCAAGAGCTGGTACTTCTGATATGCTGCTGCATATACATTAAAACATGGTCGCACGATGGAGTACGTGTGATAACGTCTAAGACGCTAAATCCGGTCGTCGATGAATTTTGCCTTACCAGAGTACAAACATTTTTTGACAGATATTCAAATATGTGTGATAATAGATGAGCGGACAAAGTCGCTCGGTTGCCTATCACGACTGTGGGTAGGTTATATCAGAAGTCGATAGAAGGCTAGAGACTATGAGGAATCGCGGCCAACGCGATTCGTCACTGATTACTGGGCCGATCCAGGTGCTCCAGCTGATAATAAAACATTAAGAGGAATGCCACGTTATGTCCATATTCCAATATCTAAACAGTTACAGAAAACATTTACTTGACTTTCACAAAAAACATCCTATTGTCTTTCCGCTAATTATCGCTGGCACTGCGGCTTTGAAGTTCATGAATTACTTTTATCGCAAATCATGGTTATTGAGTAATCACTTTGAGCATTTAGCAGGCTGCATAAAAAATTCGCTGAGTTATTTGCATGCTGATGTTCATCGTTTTCAAAATTAGTCATCGTCAGAAGGAATCCCTTTAGAATGAAAATCAGCTGAACCTTGAGCCCGATGTTCGCAGTGAGATCAAAATAGTAACCGATTTGGTTCAATGTTTGTCTACTTTGATTATTTTATTTTTATGCAAAAAAAGATTGCGTGCGAATCAAAAAACTTCTTTAAAAATAACCTATATTTTTTACGATGTTGCATTGGCATCAATCTCGTAAAATTATGAAGATCTTAAGATGAGTTTGTATTTATTGTCTCAGAAATTCGTATTCGAAATCGGAGGTCGGTGTTCGTCGATCATCGTCTTAACGATTACTGACATACAGAGTCAGCGCAGTGTTTATTCTCAACGACTGACAAGACAAACGGAGGTCCGGACTGCGTAACAGCGGTCATGGAGTTCTCACAAGTGCCGTTTCGGACTGAATCTCACGACAGTCCGCCTGAAGAGTGTGCAATCAGGGCAGCAATCGCTGCAAGTTGCTTCGGTTCTGGATCAATTGTAGTCAACTGTCATCTTGACACTGGACTTCAGTGAGTTCGGCATATATGAAGCGAAGTCGATCGGTCGAAAAACTGCGATCGACGGTAGCCAGAATTGCACTGGCATGCATTTCGTCCGGCGCGAGACAATGATTTTGGGGGACACGATTTTGAGTGAGTGAAAAAGCCGAGGCTCTACGGGCGATTTCTCCCGGCGGCGTCGTCGAACGAAGTGAATTCTACGCACTAAAAGCTCTTCATACACGGTTGGCTTTCAGTTAAATCTTAGGCAGGTCACCGATTGCTGATTATAGTCAGCAAATTAGTTAGAAGTAGAGGCATAAAGTGTCAGTCGAATGTCCATTGAACAACCTCCTCCTTCTCGGTGATGAGAAACACGCTGCCTTCGCGGTGGTCGGTCTTCGCCAGTGGGAATAAAATTCGCGAAAATCCTTCATGGCGCCAAAAATGCATTGCTAACTTTCCTCTGGATCGTCGGCAACAACGCTTATAACCTACATGTTTCATGTCGAACGTCCTCCCCACCAGTTTTGGGGTGAACAGTTCTAAAGCGGAAATAAGAAGCAAAATCTGCGAGAAATGGTCCCGGAGTATAAGCAATCAGACTTAGATAGCATTGGTCGAATAGATTGGTATCAACTTTTATAGTTTTGACTCACCCGCTCGTTGTGAAGCGTACTTTATCCTCATGCTCTCTATAGTTGATGCTTTATTATGTCACAAAGTGACTGCTGATCGAATTGAAACCGCATGAACGAACGGAAAAGAGAACAGAAAGTTTGCAACTGTTGGAATGTCAGTCTTCCTTACAGCAGGGCCTTCCTGACTCACATCGATTTCCATGTCATCAACTAGTAGTGCATTGTTTTCTCTGTCGACTGAGCAACCCCCTACAGCAAAGTGTAGAAAATTTTCTGATCAAGGGAATTGTGACAAAAATTATCCTCCTCCAGGATTGAACCTCGCACTTCCGGGTTTCGGAACAGACCTATTTAGCACTGTGTCACCACGCAAGAAAATCCTACTGACTTCGCATGAAAGAATATTAAATGAGACGCAGGTCTGAAGAGAAAATCGAATTCCTCCTACCGCGCAGTTCTCCGTGGTGGTGGGTGGCATTAGGAGCATAATTCAATGCACAAAACATACAATGAAACTGGATGAAAGCCGCTGCGCTTACTGTTATGGTGAAGGGAATCTCAGAATCAATGTGAATTGCTTGTTAACAATTCAGCATTTTGAATTATTGCGATGCCCTCAGTCAAGAGGTGTGCGAAAAGAAGTTGAACATACCGAAAAGGGCAGAATGTCACTGAAAATAAATGGAAATAGAATTCATTCAGATTCTATTCATATTTTTCATTACGCCAAATGTCTCTTTACCAAATACAATCAGATCCTTAGAATATTTCTGAAAAGTTGCAGAAACTCAACAGATAAGAATTTTGTCTCTGTTTACATAAGTAGCCAGGACCCAGCTTTTCAACAGTTATGCTATAAGACACCGGTTTCTGATTTCTGCACTGTAGAACGAAGAACTCCTTTCTGACGGCAGAATTACCTTTACCTTGTTCCTTCATGTTGCATCCTGGACTCCTCGTCGGTATTTGCCATGTTTCGGCTCCTACACAAGAAGTCGATTGACTAGAGTAAATGATTTGTGCTCAACCAGTTTGTCTAACTCGGCAAACCTCCATTTCTTGATATCCGCACATACTGAGGTTTCCTATGCCCTGAACTTAAGAAATCATTCTTTGTGGTCCTGCTGTTTAACTCTCATTATGCTTCTAAGTCAACGC